CCCAGATAAGCAGGAACAGAATTGTGGTCTTATTTATTAATGTTCCAGAAGATATAATTTTACAATATAGGTAGTCCTTGACTTATAACCATTCATTTGGTGACTGTTTGAAGTTACAACAAGACTGAAAAAAGTGACTCATGACTATTTTTCACACTTACAACCATTACAGCACCCCCTTGTTACGTGATCAAAACTCAAGATGATAGACAACTGGGTCATATTTATGATAACTGCAGTGTCCTGGGGACACATGATCCCCTTTTACAATCTTCTGACAAGCAAAGTCAATGGGGAAGCCATAAATAATGATGTTACTAACTGAACAACTGCAGTGATACACTTAACACATGTGGCAAGAAAGATCTTAAAATGGGGCAAAAGAACAACTGTCTCATTTAGCAACAGAAATTTTTGGTTGAATTATGATTGTAAGTTGAGGACTACCTGTATATCATGGGTTGTCTACAAATAATCAATTATACCAAACAAATGAAAATCACTATTAAAGCTGTACAAAGTTTCAATATCAGAAATCATGGTCAGCATAGTATAACTGACAGAATGAAATTATGAATTGCAATAAGCTGAATCCATGTTATTAAAAATCTGTTGTAGCTCAGAAAGTACATAAATTTAAAATATAGACTCTATGCACAGAAAAACATATTTTGTGCATATTGAATTAGAATCTGGGAATGTTTACTTTTAGATATGAAGTTATTCTGAACAGCAAAATATATTTTGACAGCTTAGTTATTCATTCTTCCATAGAGTTCATAAAACATTCTTTCCAATAATAGATATATAGTATTAATGCAACAGGTATTATATACCAAGCCAATACTTTGATGTTTAATAAAAGTTTAATAAAAATAATACAAGTTGAAATAGAACCTGAAATTTATTCATTCTGGCATGAATCATTTCCCAAAACTGTAAACTTTACAATATTGCTTCCAAGGGTGAAAGAATGATCCAACCTGTTAATTACATGTCTAATTATATATTTAGAGAATAAATTATTCATTTTAACAATAAGGACTAAACTAATATAATAACAACAAAAGATCCTATACTAATTTATTTTAAATATGACATTTGGACTATTATTCTTCAACTGAAATTCCAGTTGTTGCATATCTATTATTGCCTCTAAATTCTTCATCCATGCAATCATACAATCTTTGACTTTTTGGTTTCCAAATCAGACATTATCTATAATTTATAAATAAGACCCAGCATATGTTCCATGTTACATTATAAGATTTTCATATTTTGTACTTTCAGTACTATGCTGTTTATTTGAAGATAATGAAACCAGTCAGGTGAATTAGACTCCTGAGTTTCAGAATATATCATCTTATTAACAATCAAATCTTGCAATCTAAACTATTATCTATCTACTGAGCAAATATCTTTGTATTCTCATTGTAAAAACAAAGCAGGCAAGAAGTCTGGGCTTATTTCTTTTCCTGTGTTTATCCTTGGCATTCAATACCTTCCTTATTATTTCATGATTTTTTATAAATCGTTTCTGTTTGCATTAGTTATATTTATGCAGACTGCCTGAAAGTTCCACTGTTTACATCAGTGGTTCTCAACCTTTTTAATGCCGCAACCCCCAACCGGTTGTAAGTCGAGGACTACCCAACCGGTCGTAAGTCGAGGACTTTCCCTGCCCGGGAGCGCTGCGCATGCGTGATTCCGCCCCCTGCGTCGGCCGAGGCGTAGCTGGCAAGCAGCAGAGACGGAGCAGGCCGACCACCAGCTGGCCCAGCTCAAGGGAGGTAAGGCACTCGCCAGAAAAGGGGAAAAAATGGCAGACAGCCTTGCTTGGTGACCCCCGTGAAATGGTCGATCGACCCCAAATGGGGTCACGACCCATAGGTTGAGAACCGCTGGTTTACATAGAGGTAGCCCAGGCATGGGATAGTATTTTTTCTATGCTTGCTTTCCCTTTTGAGGGATTGATTTAACATGAACTTAAGCCGCTTAATGATTTCTATGCAAAATTTTAATTGAATGATGATAATTTGAACTTTCATTGATTATATACCTCAGTATTTTGGAGTTGCTTTTTTTTCTTTCCTGATTTTGTTCAGTTACTATGATTTAAAAATTGTATAGCTTCCTTGTGAATGCTATTTACTCAAAATAAAAAGTGGAGTATCTATCAATATCTTAAATAGTTTGTAGTGCTGAATCTGTTAGTTTCTGATGTCTCATGAGAAATTCTCAAACAAGAGCAAACCACAGTGAACGCTGGATCAAAGATATTTAACACCATTCAAATGATATACTTGGTATCTCTTGGTATCAGTTTCATTTGTTCCAAATTATATCTCTTCTCCACCTGAAATCTAAATGTAATTCACGTGTAGATTTGAATTTATTAATCTGTACTCTTAACCCTCCTGCAGGATACAGACCACACAATCCCTATCTTCATTTATAATCTGCCTCTTTTTTTCAGGTGCTCAAAAACCAAGTGAGACAAGGTAGGCCAAGAGAGTGATTGGGCCAAAGTAACTCTTCCTGGGTAAGAATTTGAATGGAATCTCCTTGATCTTAAAGGCTGGAATTGAAAGCTTCAGAAGTGAACCCCAAACCCCTCTGCGTAATAGTTTTCCATACGTTCGCGTTGAAAAAGAGGGAAAATATTTGCAGAGACATATTCCATTCTCAGATAATGTAATTTTTCTCATCTCCAGTGGAATGATTGTTGTCATTCAGCAATTGATAAGCTCAGCTTTATTTTCTGTAAAATTGGGTACATTTTCTGGTTACTAACAGAATATATATAGTTATTCACACAAGCCTGGCTTTTTCTAGGAACTCAAAACTCAACAAGCAGATGTTAACTTAATTAACTCTGTGTTACATGATTAGCAAGGAGAAGATGAAGAGAAAATAAAAAAGTCTTTTTCTTTAACTCCATTTATGAAATTCAGTAGTGAAAACATAGTTTTTACTCCAGGTATCAAAAAATAAATTTCATGGTTAAAAAAAATTGCAGAAACAAGGACTGAGATTTGAAACCTTCAGTATCTTTTTATATATTTAATAAATCATGTGCTTCTGTTATGATACAATTTATGATAAAGTGTAAAATGCAGATACAGGAATAGACACACGTGTGATAAGTCTATTACAGTAATGATCTATTTTCTGAGTGTTCACATATCAAGACTAATATTTGGGTATTTTTAGTTTTTGTTCTTTCAGTAAACTTACTGCCACAAAACTGATGTTTCAGTTACTAAATCATGCAATTGTGTATGTATTGACCTGGGATGGAAACATGGAACAGAAATCAAAGGAATTTTAGGGGAATAAACCTCTCAATTTACTTATGAGTGGACATGCATACGACTGCACTTTTTTCGTGTTAAAATGTTTAGCAGCAAACTCTATCCTATGCAATTATGCCAACAAGGCTCCATAGCCATTCCTTTTAAAGAAACAGTAATACTATATCAGGATTAAATTTTGGTTTGTTCGACGAGAATTTTCCTTGCTCATTTTTTCAGTCCCTACTCCACCAAAATGACTGTGGAAATTTTTTCAAACTCCTGAAGAGTTGGAAAATGTTGACTGTAAGAAGACAGACTCTTAATCTACTATGGGATTTGCAGGTTTTTTTTTAATGATACCACTGTAGAAAATAAAGCACTTAAATTTACTTGACATTCACAGCTGATTGTATAAATTAGCTAATCGTAAAACAAAACAGAAAAAACCCATGTAGCGCTTGGGAAACAAAATCCAGCCCTCCCAACAGATTAAGAAAACCTCTCCATGAAAAAGAAGTCTTCTACCCCTGTCCTATGTACCTTTACTTAACAAGCTGATCTTTCTCCCCTAATAGCCTTGTCTGTTGAAATGAAAAAGAAAGCTTCACCCATTTCACATTTCCAGCATTCTTAGTTGGAACACTTGGATTGCTTACTTTCCAGAATTCTCCATGTGTTTATGTGCTGTTGTTATCACATCTATCCTATCATCTGTCAGCTCTACAGAATCAGCAGAGAACTTTTTTCAGTCTTTTTGACTCAGCAATTTTTCTGCTGCCATATTGTTCATTTATTGATCACACTTAAAACCTCACAAGAGTGATCTGAAATCAGTTATATAATTATAGCTAATTATAAAAAAGATTATATAAATTTTCTATTTCTTCAGTTCTAGGACTGAATAGATCATGGTGACAGCAACAAAAAAGATGAACATGTTCCAAAGTGATCCAATTATGTTGATAATTCATTATACCTTTTTATAGGAGAGTCCATAATTTGTAGGTTGATCAACTGCCCTGTTAAAAGCTATGGTGATCAGGCAATTCTGATTAATGTTTATTATTTCTCTTCATGCAGAGTTTCAAGAATTTCCGTAAAAATAAAGAAGAATAGTCGCACGCTCTGTTTATGATACCAGGTGATTAATAGTCTTAAATATATTCTGTATTGTGGCTATCCATTTTAATAGTTGTAGACTGTATTTTTAACAAGAATAGAAATTTTAATGAACACACCAATCTACAGACCTTTACGCGATGTCCTCTTGTTTATGCAAGACAGTTCTTTAATTCTCTATGTATTTTTCAAATGCATTTTTATTGGTATGAATATGCATAGAATCTGATCATAATAAAGCAAGAAAATACCCCATCACAGTAAACCATATATCTTTTCTTCTGATCATTACTTTAGATTCCAAAGTATTTATTTAGATTTATAACAATACTAAGATATCAGCATGTCAGTAAAGAAAGTAGGCATGAATCTTTTGAAAAGATGTGAAAATTAAAAATGTGTAAAATTAAGCTAGTGAAGAAAAAATGTTAAACATGCAGCACGGTTATTTTTATTATGACTTTCTAAACCCATAAGCACCAGATTTCAAATAAATTGCAACCATTAATTAATATAAATTTTTATCATTAATTCTTCATTATAATTTTGTTTTTAAAATCAAATTGAAATATTACTAAGGAAGTTCAAGATCAGTCTCTTTAATCCGTTATACTTGTACAGTTCAGAAAAACTTTTCCCAATCTAGTAGCTCCTGTCCATTTTGCAATGCAACTAAAAATCCATCCTATCTGGAGATACAAGTTTGGAAAAGGATTGTTTCAAAGTATGTATGTAAATACAAATATACTGGGTTTTCTTTAAACCCTATTACTGCATTTTTTATAAAGTAAGTTATATATAAATTATTAAAAAAAATTTCCACAGTATTTGAAATGATAGGAAATCTTGCAGTTAGCTGTGACTTTAGAATACAGAAGTGGGTGAGATCATGATTCATGATCTTTGATTAAACTCATGTATTTATTGATTAATCTGAAAGAGGTTCTAAATACATGTTTTTTTTAAAGAATGTCTCTAGTTAAAAGTCAGTAAAGGTTTCACCAGCTTTCTTCTTCCCGTAAAAACTGGAGTACAGATGAGAAGTCTTTTTGGGCATAGCCCTTGGCACACATGATCCTGTAAATCTGATGGGCTAGGGATCCAAGTGGGACTGGAGTCTTGGTGTTGGTGGCAGAAATCTGGGCCAAGCCAAGATCCTAAAAATAAGGATAATATTTTGAGTAAGAGAAGAAAAAAAGTATATTTATTACAGAGTGATACCTATTACCAAATATAACAGTAATATCAAGATCCATTGTTCCTTAGGAAATGATTTAAAAGGTTTGTGTATGAAAGGACTTAAGTTTCAATATGTAGGTAGAGCTAGAAAAATTCCTTCTGAAAATTGGGAAACTTGCTCATAGGCATGCATTAGATGAAATGAAATAAAATGATATCAAAATAGTTGGATTACTGCAATGAATTCTATGTGGGGATCCTTCTGAAGACCACCAGATGTGCAATTGGTCCAAAATGCAGTGGTACAAATTAATTATTGTTATGTAAGTTGCACTGGCCCCCAGTTGCTTTCTGCATGGAATTCAAGGTGCTGCTTATTATTTTTAAAGCTCCACATGGCATTATACCTTGCCTTCAGAATATTGTCCCATCTTATTATGTCAGATAGAGTGGATATATTCCATGTCCTTTCCCTTAAATGTTAGTAGAGGTGTGTCTTCTCTGTAGCAACCCCAGCTTAGAATAGCTTCCCATCAGGGATATGAGGAGTCTAGCCTTCCATAAGGCAATGAAGACTTGAATCCGCTAGTTCTAACCAAAGCACAATCATTTCTGAAGAAAGCTGGAATAAGGGACTTATCTCTGAAGGAAAGCAATGTGACTGTCAGCTTCAAGGTAAATTAGACTAGGAATCCAATGTCATGTAAGCCAGTACTACTTTTATTGTAAAGCTACAATAACAGAATCTTCAAGTCTCCCCGTCTCTCCTTATCTTTGTCTGATATGCTTATTCAGGTTGCATTCCTGCCCTGAATCCAATCCTCTTTCATCTAATTATTGTCTTGGTGGAAAACCAGCAGAAAATTTGCAGAAGACCAACATGACATTTTTTTCCAGTTAGATCCTATGGAATTTAAGTTAAGACCTGCAATATCGAAACAGGGTAATTGTTTTCATGTTGAATGTGTTCAGGAATTAGGTTGGTGTAGCAAAACATTCCCATAATTACTTTAAGGTGAGATTTCTAAAAATTGCTAAAAACTGAAAAGCTGAGGTGATTTAGGAAGCTATACAGAAAGAAACACATATACTGATATGTGAATCATCTATATTTTTTTTTCTTAACTAAGAGTTTTAGCATGGATTCTCACTCTTTTGGGCACGGTAGGCACATCTGGATCTTAGATAATCTGTGTGGACACTCTTATACAATGGCTGCTGCTTTGTGTCCCCTAATACAAACACCCAATTTATCAAAATGTTCTCTGCTATTCCCTACTAGAAATGTCATAAGATTATCCCTGCTACTTCTGCTTATGTGGATTCTTTTAGAGGCAGACAAACAAGCAATAGCTGCAAATACCTGTCAAGCTCATTTTGGAATTTGGCATTTAGCAGCATGCTATCTTCCAATTTTATATAATTAAAATACATTTTAAAAAGTAAAAACTTAGGTGGGAAGAACAGTAATGGTGACCAAAAAGGAAAGTGTCTGTGGGCTTACTGGCATTCTAAAATGTTACAATGTGGACCCCAGATTCTAATATTATTACGTTTTCTTTTCATTTTTTTTTTTAATTAATTAACATTTCTTGTTTTGCCATTTAGAGAAAATTCCCAAGAAACTTCCCAAGAATGTGAAATAAAAATATGCACATATAAATACACACATTCAATGTAGATCAAAGAAAAATAGCAAAATCTATTAAACATTCAGAGTGAAATCATCAAATTATATAAAAAGGCCTAGTAATATAAACATTTTGCTTATCACAAACAAATGTAAAAGAGGAAGACATGTTCCTTCAAAAAAAAAAAAATCTAAAATGAAGATCCGTTACCATGATCCTTTTATTTTATTTTTAAAGCTATTTTTTCAATATTGTATAATGAGAGTAAATTGCACTAAAACTGTGTTTTTGTGTATATGTGATATACTAAGCAGAATAATAACAGGCCACAAAATATAAAGAAATAGACATTAATTCATCTTAGGTATGTCAGCATAGTGGAGAAAATTCTACATACTACCTTGAAGTTCAGAAGGAAATACTCAAAAGAAACATTTGTTTGAAACAAAGTAACTGTTTATTACACTAATATATGTTATTTTTGTATACATATAGATACATACCTTCGCCATAAGTGTTGTTCCAAAGCCTCCTTGATAATTATTATTAGATGGTACCCCTTCCATTACTCCTGGCACAGGGTTGTATGTATCACTTGACCAACAACGGCCTGAACTCATATTTAAGATTTTGGCCAGAAGCTTTGGGTCAAGCCCTAACCTGTCAAAGGTCAAAAGAAGAGAAGTGTTCATGTCAAAATGCACATGTCATGGATGACTTCTTTTTATATGTTGACACCATGTTGTCATTTCTCAACATTCATTGGGAGACTTGAAAAATGATCTAGAGGGATAATATTGAGAGGAAGACTCTTCTTTAAATTAAAGGTCATCAATCCTCAATACTGGTCATGCATGCTAATTATTAGATGAATTGCCAGACACAAAATAAAGATTCTTCAGAATTAATAGCTCCCTTCTATATAAGGAAATATGATTCAAAAAGTATTATCAGAAGCATAAGCTACTATATTAAGACAAAGGGAGATTCTCCTACAGTTAAGCTTTCTTTTTATTAAACAGTTATTATATTCAGATGTTCAAGAAATAAGTCTACTGTGATACATATTCCCTATCTATTCAGAGACATGCATTACAGTTCTGGGTCAACTGCTGAGAAGGTTACAAATCCTGATAAAACAAAGCTTGTCCAAGCAGAAACATCATTTGTTCTATTGCTCTCACCAACTGATGGCACAAACCCCAGTGCAGTTGAGACAAACTGAAAATATAGTGAAAAACATTTTTTAGCAGATTAGGCTTTTCTGTTTTTTAAACAATGGCATGACGGTGTCTATCAGCTTAACTGAGTACAATTTTGTAAGAATTATACTCCTTATAGTGAAAAGCAAGAACTTTTGAAAACTGAAATATAACCAAACTATATAAATGTAAGCATTTTTAAAGATGGATATAAAAATAATCATAGAGAAGAAATATTATAGGATGCAATCCAACACATAAACCCAGAGGAAAGTAAGTGAACTAGGCACTTACTTTTAAATGTACACCTTTATAATTTACTTGACGAAAAAGCAATGCATTCACATTTATATCATCATTAATACAATATAGTAATGAATGGAAGTAGTTACAATGAAAACTTCTTCCACCAGATTATTGTGAGAAAATAACACTTTCTTCATTTTAAAAAGATGGATTTTTCAGTGAGTAGGTTTATAGCATGCCATATAAGAAGAAGCAAAGCTGAAATACTAGAAATACTAGAACAATAAATTATATTATCCCTTATTCTAACAATTTATTTCTCTACCTTAAATGTGTGTTACCTGTGGCTTGATTTCCAATTATTCTCTCCAATAGAAAATATTAATGACACCTTGCTGCTATTGTTCATATTCAATTATACTGTTCATTGATGAGGTTGCTTTACAACAGAAAGAAAGTCATGATCCAAAAGAAAAAAATAAACACTATGTAGAAAATTTCTGTTGTTTTTCCTACCAGTTCTGAAAAACATTCTGACAAAAAAATTGCTTCTGGAATTTCTTTCAAAAGAGAGAATTTCACTGAATTGAATGGAACATGGTATTCCTATGCTTTTTAAATTATAAGGTAGCCAAAGAGTGTGCTTGAACATTATTGTTCATTATAAACTAAAGAATCTGGAGCTTCCCTTGCTTGTCATTCTTCAATTAAATCCCCAAAGAAAACATTTTTAGATAATTTCTTCCACTGCTCTTTTTCATATTGGAAAGCCAGGGAGATTGCAGTATAACAGAAAATATCAACAGTACTAGTGTTCTTCACTATTTCTCTCTATTTAGTAAGCTGAAACTCACCACCATTAAAAAAAATCATTAAAAATTTCAGAGAATAAAATAGAAGTCTTTTTTCGGGTGTAGAAAATTTTTGACAAATTGCAAGACAAATATAAAAAGTTCTTTTATCAAATGTCCTCAATGTTCCAGGAAGCTCTCCTTGTGTAAGATGCACCAGATGAATGAAGCATTAGATTTGAGGAAATTCCCCCCCCTCATTGTACCTTCTTCATTCTGATAAATAGAATTCTAAGAGGAATCTTTGTGAAGATTATCTAAATAAATAGGAAGCATATGCTAGTCTTGATGGATATACCTTTCAAGAGCACATTGAAATGGATTAGTGTATGTGAAATGCAGTCTTAAATGTTCAGCTCCAGTAACACAAAACAGATGCCAAGTTAAGGATGCATCCCACAAAAGGAGCCTTATCTTAAATGTATATAACACCACAATGCCTGTAACTGGCTTCCTGTTTACATTTATTTCTTTAATTTATTGACTGCCTGGCTCCAAAATGCTCTGCACTTAATAATAATTTATTAAACTAGTATGCCACCAGACTCCTAATGACTCCATATCAACACTGTTCAAGGACTTCACATTAGAAATATCTAGATACTCATAGTTAGATTAGTGGATATAATTTAAAAAATTTTTTTTGTTGTAATCTAATGTTATTTTAGAGTCACAGTAATTTTGTACTAGTGTGTAGTAATAATGAGTAGTTTTGATTAGTATTGGATGATTGTGTATTTATTTCCTAGATTAGCTTTGGGAAGTCCTGGGGGGGGGAGGGGGGAAAGGGGTAGGTTGGTGTTATAGATTTATATGTATATATATGTATGATTTTTTAAGGAGGTGCCCAGTGGTACCCCAACTGCACTGTGGTTGAGGGAGAAAGGGAGGTAGGAAAGAGGGAGGAAGGAGGAGTGGTGGAAGGATAGCGAGGAGGAAGGTGTAGGCAAGTAAGAGGGTGGTGCGGAAGGGGTACACCGGACAGGTCCGTGAATGTATTGATTGGTGTTGATTCTTTTTATGGTTGATATTGTGATAAAAGATTTATGTTTCTGTTTTTCAATGAAAAATCAATAAAAAAATTAAAAAAAAAAAGATTAGTGGATTGGAATGTTAATTTAGCATGACCTGAATATTAACAAGCACTTGAAGATATCAGAATGCTTTCACTCAAGTTTGCAAATTAAGAATTTAAATGTTTGGGCATCATAATGTCTCGAGAATCAAATTCTATTGTAGAACGACTTAGACACTGAAGACACTTATAGTGTATTGCAGGACTTAGCAACATGATATCTAAGATCAACAAAAAAATTATAATAGTCTGTCAATAATGCTTGTGAACCTCCTTATTTTTACTGCTTTTTAAAGAAGGATAAAGTTCCATGACATGACCAGATCTCATGTTAAATTTGAATGGATTTCTCTAAGATTTTGTATAAGATTGAAATCTTATGTGAGTTTTCACAGGATAGTAATCTTATGAGATTTTGTTAATTGGATGGGAGGAGGGACTAAACATGCCTAAACCACGTGGGAAATCATGCAATGTACCCATACATTCTGCTCATGATCTAAAGTCCAGAGCACAGTGAAGTCTTCATTAGAAATCTGTATCCCTCAGCCAAACAATATCCTAGAAACATGTTTATGTTTGCTTAATTTAATATACCCTTGAAAATCACAAGATGATCTAGATATAGTTAGTATATTTCTAATATTGGTTTCTAGAAGAAAAGGTCAAAAATAAAATCACCCAAGATACTCAAGACCTTCTTCTCCCCCCCCTTTGCTTTTATCTCCTGTAGCAAGTATATCATTAAAAGGAGCAAGTTGGAGGTGTTTTGCATTTTATCTTTCTGAGGATTCATCTATTGGTGCATAGATAACTGACAGCTAGAATTAGACACATATAAAAATATGTTACTGCAGAAGTCCTCTGTCTTCCACTGTGCCCATAGCTGGTAATGATCTGAAAGCAGATAGAATATGCCGTAATTGTCATTCAGTAAGAGTCTATCCTCAAAAGTCATGCTTCAGTGGAGAAGACTGAGTTTCCATTTGAAATCAACAAATTAATCCAAGACAGGTATCTGAAAGGGCAAGCTTAATAGGAAGCAGCTACGGGGCTCTCAACCATGATAAAATGTTATTGCTGTTTCCCTGTAAATTGGTTCAGAACATAGAATACTTTCTGCATAAGAGCTCTATTGCTGTTCAAGAGATATACTGCTCAAGCTATCAAAACAATGACAGTCTGTCAATCCACATAATAACTTGCCATTGGACATGGCAAAAGGATGAGCATGCACACATACATTTTACAACTGCCAAGGTGTTTCATATTTTGGAGTGAGGAGGGGGAGTCTGAAGAGAAGGAGACAGAAGGAATTGGGACACAAAATCAACACTCAGCTTTTAAACGCCTCATAGGACATTTTTTCCCTCCCCTTTCCCTCTCTCATGTTTCATGTTTTAGTCGTAAAATGTCAAAAAGCATGAGACCCCAGATAAATCCACAAGTGACCAGGTTCAGACATTTGTGTTAGGATAGGGCTTCTTTTAATCATGGTGGTTTAATAAACAACAACTGGCTGAGTTCACACCTTATGGTAGACATGTCAAACACAAGGCCCGGGGGGCCGGATGCGGCCCGCGAAGTGGTTTCATGTGGTCCGCGAAGCCATCCTGGAAACAGTGAGGGAACAGCCTCCGCTGCCTTCACCCTGGCCCAGGCCGGCCGGGAGCCAATGTACAATTTTGTGGTGGCCATCTATGCTGAAATGCATTCAGTCTTAGCTCCACAAGGCCATCTCGAAACAGCGAGGAACCAGCCCCTGCTGCGTTGGTCCCACCCCCTGGGTGCATGCTGGGGAGGTGTCACCCTTTGTGAGGAATGAAGAAATGCACCATCGCCTGAAAGTGGCCAGCAAATGGCCCTTGTCTACTTCACATATCCGGCTTGATAGGCTCTGGGGGAGGAGTTTCGGCGGGCAGCGGGGCGCTCTCCTCACAGCGCTGAGAGACTGAGCTGGGCAGCGCAAATCCAAAAAGAAATGTGAGGCCACCCAGCTCCCAGCCTGCCTGGTTTCAGCAGGCAGAGGGGCGCTCTCCTCACAGCGCCAAGAGCTGAGCTGGGTGGTGCGAATCTGATGAGAAGTGCAATGCTGCCTAGCCCCCAGCCTGCCCAGTTTCAGCAGGCAGTAAGGTGCAAAGCTGGTGAGCTTCGCACCACCCGGCTCAACCACTTGGCGCTGTGAGGAAAATGCCCTACTGTCTGCTGAAACCAGGCAGGCTAAGGGCTGGGTGGCATTGCGCAGGTAATGTTGACTCTCACGCTGCTCATGGTATCCCCTCCCTC